TTATTAGAAAAATAGAGTTTCATAGAATCAGTTTATATTGCACAAACTTTAGCATAAAGAACATATTCAAAGATCATTACAGTTAAATAAAATAACTATGTCCCATTAAAATAATGAACACTACTAAACTAGGCTAAGATGGGCTGCAGTGGGCAAGCCCCATCTCCTTCTTTCTCTTTACTTACATCCTCTCTCAATCAAGTTCCTTTCTCTCCCATCTTTATGGAATCAAATCCCAGAACAAAACCGGATCTCTCTTTCTCTCCATTTTCTACATTATCTAACCCCTCCCTTTTTCACAATTCTGGCTGTTAACCAATTAGCCTCAAGGGGCTGTAATACCTTCCTCCTCCCTTAATTTCCATGGAAGTCCAGGTGTCTTCTCCAATTAGCTCAGAATGTTGAGTCTTCCATGGGCCCCTTGATTTGACCTTCAGCTCTATCACCACGCTCTAACGATCTTCAGAAAAACATTCTCGAAAAACATTCTCAAAGCACTTAGAAAAACACATTCCAATGTTTCTCTAATCATCTTCACACAGAACCTGTCTTGATTCCATCTTACATTTTTCTGACTACATATTCCATCATCATAACACTAGTTCAGGTCTCTCAGCAAGGCTGGGAACCGGGAATAAGCCGAATCTATAATGGATAAAACACCACTTCTGGATGGTGCACTGCAGGGATAAAAAGAATTGAGATGGTGATTAAGATGTCTTTTAGAAGTGATTCCCTGCCACATCTGTTCAAGATACGTGTAGGGAAGCCACCAACTCTTTAGCATCATACAGTAGGTTGAAAGGATTTATAAAGGGTCAGTTTGATCACTTAACAGTCGGCATTCTGACACTCCAATACTTTGGTCATCTCATGAGAAGACTCCCTGGAAGAGACCCTGATGTTGGGAAAGTGTGAAGGCAAGAGGAGAAGGGGATGACAGAGGACGAGATGGTTGGACAGTGTCATCGAAGTGACCAATATGAATTTGACCCAACTCCGGGAGGCAGTGGAAGACAGGAGGGCCTGGCGTGCTCTGGTCCATGGGGTCACGAAGAGTCGGACACAACTTAACGATTAAACAACAGCAGCAGCAATTCTGACATTGGGAATCAAAAGCCTCACTTAATCTCCCACAGCTAGATGACCTATATATATTCTCATCTGCCCCACTAATGAGTTACACATCTAACATTGTTATTTGTTGTTAAATGCCAGTGTGTGCAATTTGTATGAATAAATGTTGTCTCTTTGTGACAAGATTCCTGTGCCATTTATGGATCTTGACATGGAAAATAAAGTACGCATGCCTTTCCATTGCATTTCCTTTTATCCATAGTCACTTCAACAAGGCTTTAAATCTATTCATCTCGGCAAAAGGAGACTGATTGTGTCCACTAGCCATGAAATGCTGGCTGACCATTGGGGGAAAATGGAAGGGGGTAACACAGAGTACAGCATGGCCAAGTGCCTGGAACAGAGCAATTTCCCCCAGATTTGACTTCTGCAAATTTGGGTGAATCCCAGATTTTGGAAATTTGAGTGAGGACATCAACAGTGAAATTGTTACTTTTGTATTAAACAGGAGAAAACAAGCACAATGCTCCATCTGGCCTTTTACAAAGCAACATTTTAACATTGCTCTTAAAATACTATTTTCAGAAGAACAGGTGCAGTAGTTCCCTTGTCCTCCTGTTTAACGCAAAATTTGTCTTGACTGATAGTCTTTATTTTCATAAACAAAGGTATATAAAAATAGCTGTATCACATTAGTTTAAAAAAAGCATTGTGAATAATCCTTTTGACTCGGAGCAGCAATGAAAAAGCAAAGCAAAGTGGATAAAAGCATGGACAATAGCATGTGCTTGTTTCATATACGTATGTGTTTAATGCTGCAGTCCTAGATACACTTACCTGGAAATAATTTAGTAGACCTTACTTCCAGGTAAGTGTATCTAGGACTGCAGTGTTAAACACATTTCAAACAACTAATTTTTAGAACATAAGAGCGAGCCCTGCTGGATCAGGCCAAGGGCCCATCTAGTCCAGCTTCCTGGATCTCACAGTGGCCCCACCAGATGCCTCTGGGAGCACACCTGACAACTGGAGACCTGTGTCCTGATCCCCCTCCCCTGCATCTTGGAAAGAGGAGGCAATTAGAAAGTCATGTTGTGATGTCATTGGAGAGACACAGAACCAACTGGCCCGAATGCAAATTGTGAGGAGTGTAGAAATCGGTGGTTGTTTTAACATTTTTGACGCAAAGAAATTTTTTGTGGACAACCACTTCCTTCTTTTCGGTGGTCAAGTGACGTGTAATCATGCCCGTACGTTTATACTTTCTCCAGCATTTGGTTTTAACTTCTCTTTTTTTTTCAAAATAGAAAACAGCATGTGGAAACTATGAGTTTCAGGAGAGAAATTATCATGAGGGTGGGCGATGTTACTCCTTTCCTTCCTGCAATTTCATTGTTCAAAATAGCAATACATTATGTATTTTCATCTACATGGGTGAAAAAGTACAACCACCTTGGAGGAAAGCAGAGAGGGAGGGGCAGGATTAGGGTTACAACATGCATTCTTAGCATTTGGCGGTATGAACATTTAAGTCAAAATAGAAGCATGGTGTGACTCTAGTATATATGTTCTCACAAGTCATATTATTTTTTCATTCTTTATTATACGGTCACATAGCATAGAGGGGACTTTCACAATTCCTTGAATGTTATTCAGAATCAAACCACCCAAACTGAATCTGGCTTCCATGTTCCTTTGTGCCTTCACGCTTTGTGAGGAGTGGCTGTTTCCCATAAGATACTTAACTAGCTATATTATGGTTCATTGGCTATTTAACACATCTAGCTATATGTCAAAAGTTACTGTGAGGAGGAATCTCCTCACTCTGTTTGAGGGCCAAACAGAGCTTCATTAAGCTAAACATTTGGTGGAATGGACAGAACACAAAGAGTTCTGAAGATCTAAAGGATTGTCTCGTTTTTCTTAAGCAGCAGCCTCTCATGATCCACAGAAAACCAGTCTTGATATTGGTTTCAAAAGTAATTTGAAAGATAGCTGTTTAATGAAATAAGATATTCAAAAGGCACACACAAATCCTTCCTCTGTGATGCACTTCCTAGTGGCCAATAAACATCTTAACATATGTCCGTATTATTATACCCTCTACATAAAGGCAACTGAGATGGATAAGTGTGCTCCACTAGCAATATTTTTAAAAATAATAGAACAGGAGAATGTATTTTCAATAGTAAGTTTTATTCATACACATAAGTCATAGTGTTGGGCTTAGTAATTGAGAACTTTTGTTAAAAGCATACAGACAATTGATACACACTGTCTGGACCCTTTTTCTTCAAGGGAAATATAAGTCTGAAATCACAACATGTAAACCATAACAAAAAGGTATTGATGCTTGCAGGCCTGTTTCTTTTAGGGACAGAAAAATGTCCATTTCTCAGGAAAGAGAAGAGGTGTTTACCATTTATCCATGTCCTTACTAGAATTACCTGGCTAAGGCTTGTTGGCAAACTGATCAAGATACCAACTTTTTCCTGTTGTAGAAATTAGAAATACAGAGCAATAGCTATATATCTGCAAAAAGCTATGTCTGTGTGGTGGTAAATTTTCAGCTTCAAAACCACAATGACCCATAAAGCCAAACTATTATTGGGGGAAAAACATTTAAGGGCAATTTTCCAAGAAGTTTTTACAATTTGCCTTGTAAGTCATACAACTAATTGCACAGCCTAAAGACAATGAGGGATACAGGCAGCCAGCTAAATATCTACCACAGCTTGTGCGATTTCCCTTAGGTGACCATATAATACAACATGATCTGGTCTTTATCCTAAAGACAATGAGGGATACAGGCAGGCAGCAAAATATCTACCACGGCTTGTGTGATTTCCCTTAGGTGATCATATAACACAACATGATTCGGTCTTAACGCTTAGATGACTCCACACTAGAGGTGGATGCAAATCGCCAGTTCGGTGGTTCATACTGGCTTGTTTATCGGCTGAGCAAGTGTTTGGCACTTCCCAGCCCCACCCCCTCTGGTGGGCACCACTCAAGAGGCAGCATGCTGGCTTCCCTGCCCCGCCTCCTCTGGACGCTGCCTCTGAGTGGATGCCTGCCAGAGGAGGCAGGGCTGGGAAGCATCAAACACCTGTTTAGCCATTTAAAAAAATCCATGCTTTCTGCCAAATCTATGAGTTATCCTATGTATCCATTTATCTGTGACCTTTGATATTTCACTTCTTATCTGTAAATGCCTTGATTCTTTTTCATGTAAAGTAGGGGAACCATGTTTAGAGAAATTATAGGCTAGGACAAATACCCTCCCTCTTTTTGCTTCCAAATAGCTGTACACAGGAACACTCTAACTTGGAGGCGCAACAGATGAGGGGAATTCAACCAGTCGTGGCACTCCGAGAGATGCTTAGAATTCTAATTGTGAAAGAAATCTGGCAAACAAATTCTCAAAATAGAGACAATGAAATCCAACCTAGTTATATAAAATTAAAACTACAGTACAGTGGTGCCTCGCAAGATGAGCATTTCATTTAATGATGAAATTGCATTAGGCAAACAAATTCTCAAAATAGAGACAATGAAATCCAACCTAGTTATATAAAATTAAAACTACAGTGGTGCCTCGCAAGATGAGCGCTTCGTTTAATGATGAAATCGCATAACGAAGTTTATGTTTCCTATGGGGTTTTTTCGCTTTGCGATGATCGGTTACCTGCTTTGCTAACAGATTATCGCAAAACGAAGATTTTTGCACAGCTGATCGGCAGTTTCAAAATGGCCGCCGGGTAAAAAAAATGGCCGCCCACTGGTTTCTGGGACGGATTCCTCACTGCACGGGCAGCGAAAATGGCTGCGCTATGGAGGATCTTCACTGGACAGTGAGTTTCAAGCCCATAGGAACGCATTAATCGGGTTTTAATGCGTTTCTATGGGCTTTTAAAAATCGCTTTACGATGTTTTCGTTCTACAGCAATTTCGCTGGAACGAATTAACATCATAATGTGAGGCACCACTGTAGCACACCCTTGTTCATATTGCAAAGCTCAATAACCAAAGTTTATATTTTCCTTTTCTGTTTGAGACCGAAACAAAATGTGAGTACTCTAATAAACTGGGCCAAACATCAATGATCTTGATAAAACGGAGAAGAAGAATACCAAATTTAAGAAAACTACAATATTCAACTTCTGCATATCATACATTAACTTTCTAGGATCTCTTCTATGTTTCTCCAGGAGCTAATCTATCTATAAAAATATAATAAGATTGCTTAAAAACTCCATGTGAATATATATTGTATCACCCAAAGCATACCAAGACCAAGAAGATTCTTAAGAAGCACGTCCATAATATTGTAAATAATGCTGGATTTTACAGCAAAGTACTACTTTTTGGAGTTGATTTTTTCCCCCTCAAGCCTGTAAAATAATGCCAGAAGTCTCAGAAGACATACAAAGTCAATTGATGGTGGTGTTGAATCCTCAGTGGATCTTGGCATCTTATCCCTGTAAAACCTCATCTAATACTTTTTATCCATATCAATAAAATGCACAATGTTTCATACAATCACAGACTGTATCATATCAGCTCATCACATTCACCTATCTTTAGTAGGTTCAGCTGAACAGCTGTGTCACTACTGAACTGTAATCTTTGGAAAAAATTGCGATCATAAATCATTTTCCCTTTTGATTAAAATATAACGATAAATATATCCTGAACACAGGAACAGTTTCCATTCACTACACAGATAATTCTAATTTATTTCTCTATAACATTTGTTTGAAAAGTTATTGGCAGTAATAATCCTTTTAAATGTTTCTCAAGAACAAGGAAAACACTCTTATTTTCTTTAAAATTCTACTTTGTCTTGGGCTTTTTAAAAATAAAAAATAAAGGGGGATGGCAGTAAGGCTGTTATATTTCCACTGGACTGGACCTGGAGTTGATCTTCTGTCTGTGGACTAAACTGCAATCCAGGAGAAATTCCTGCTGAGTGAAAAGGAAGTAATTTCTACAGATTTATTTCTCCCCAGCTGTTCCAAAACTGCCTTTCCAAGAGATTATTGATACAACCAGGGAAACTAGTGGAGAAAAACACATTTCCTCCTATGTTAGGAACATCTTAACAGTAGAATTCTAGATCTGGAATTTCCATGTACTTCAAGTGGTATCACACGTACAAAAAAAGTAACAATCCTCCGCCAAGGAAATAAGGAAACAAAACATTTTGAAGCTCTGTACAAGAAAAGTGAAATGATCTAGTGTGGGAGAGTGGCATACTTCATAGGTTCCTTTCTTGAATTTGAATTTTGTTTTCTTGTGTATTATCTTTCTGTACAGATACAATCTGAAATTATCGTTTGTTTTTCCTTGAAGCAAAAGTACTCTTGAATAAATCATCCTGTAAATTAACAACAAATATTTTATTACAACCTTAACAGTGCAACTTTTAAATATGCAAATACTGTAAATCCTATCTGTATATTTAAAATCCTATTTACTTATCTAAATCCATCCCCCCCCTTTTTTTCATTCCTCTCCTTCCCTCCCGCTCTTTTCCTCCATCTACTCTGGGGATTAGCTGGTGCCATCTTGGTTTCTGGGGGGTTACTGTTGCTGGTTTTTCTATTTTTATTTTTGTTTTCTATTGTATGAGTTGTAACCCACCCAGAGTAGTACTGGCACAAACTGAATAAATAAATCATAAATAAATAATAAATGTACAACCATTTCCACCAGGATCTGGACTTTCAAAGTAATTTGTGGCATATCCTACAGCCTAGGGATTGAAAGAATTATGCTCTATGAACTTCATGGCTTTGCTATTAGAATCAGGGAACAAGCTGCTAGAAGTCTGATCGAGTTTCAAGATGCTCTGCAAATCGTGATATATATATATAAAACCTACATGAACAGTGAATAAACTTCTGAAAGATTAACATGAAACAATGAGAACAGAGAGATCCCTAATTTATAAAATAATTTATTTATCAAAAACAACAGCACCTCTACTTCATAGCTGATTTTTAAGATTTCTGTTCTGAGGGTGTCTACTAACACTTTAAGATGCTACTATGGGTTTTGCCAACAGAGATTATTTGAATGAATCCTACCAGTACTGTCACATTAAAAACGAAGGTGCAAACCAAGTGACATTCAAGCTGTGCTATTAACACATCAGCAACTATGCACAGTTCCCTTCTGTTGCCTGCTTGCAAAACCCAAGATTAAAAATCCAGTGCACACATATAATGGCCATCTAGATGCAAGCAGGAGCACCATATATGCCTATTCTGAACCAGTAGTCATTGACTCTTCCTGGGATCAATGTAAAATACTGGTTTAGACTTTTTAAAATCCTAATTGGTAGAGACCTCTGTTATCATAGGCCTGCCTATGAACTACCCAGTCCATGAGTAGTTTTTAAGAATTCTTCTTAAAAATCAAACTTTCAGGGGACACCGGGATAGGGCCTTTTCTGTCGCTGCACCAAGACTTCCTTTCTCTCTCCAGAGGACAATCTGGTAAACCATTTTCAACATTAGCTGTGCTGGCTGGGTTTCTTGGAGTTACAGTCCAAGAAGTACAGTGGTGCCTCGCTTAATGAGCGCTTTGTTTAACTATGAATTCGCTTAGTGATGGCTTTTTCGGAGCGATCTTGTGCTCCGTTTAACAATGTTCCCTATGGGCGATTTCCGCATAGTGATGTTTGGGACCATGCTTTGCATAGCGATGACAGTTTGGGTCCCCCTGTTTCGCTTAACCATGGTTTTGACAGCCTCCTGTTGGCTGTTTTTTATACATTTAAAAATGTTTCAAAATGTTTAGAATGCTTGAAATCGTAAGTGCACTTAATAAACCCTTTGTTAAACTAATTTGACTTTGTTCCGACTCTTTTTAAATTTGTTGTAATTTTTCCCCCATTGAGATGCATTGAATAGGTTTCAATGCATTTCAATTGGGGAAC